ATAAAACCTTCAGAAACATTTGTCAAGATTTTTCCCTTATACTTACAGATGTTAAAACCAGAGGCACAGAAGCAGAGGACTCTTAACACATATGCTAACAGATACCAAGTGCTAAAATGATTTCTAATACGAAAGCCTATAAAATAAGACTGATATTTCTGTAAACACTTCTTTATGGCACTTTGTCCCCCATAAACTCTCCCTAATGCCCTGTGCTTTTTAATGTTATCTTTATCTTAAAATTTTCATAATCAGAATCACTAATACAGCTGCCTGACGATGAATAGAGCAAATATATCCAAAATTGTATAACAGTTTTGACAAATACTTTTCTTTGTTTGGAAAAGGCTCGCTTTAACTAATCAACACTAGCCATTATGTGTCTGGAGATGCTAATCACCTAGTATTTTTTCCGTTCCCTGATTGGAAGCCTGCAAGTTATTGTAAGGAAGATAAATGTGTGATTATACATGTGTTTGAATATTTCTCAGATTAAAAGTTACCCTTGACAAAAGTTGTATACGTTCAGTGATTCAAAACCATGTGTATAAGTATCCACTGTCTGAATATCCACAATAATTAATGATGTGATCTCCTTCTATATGCTAAATAAAAGCTAGCACTATCATTCATAAAGATATCTGGAAATTTATTTTTGTTATTACTCAATTGCACTTTCAAAACTATTTCTCTCAACAGGAAAGTGAAAGTCTATAGAAAGCAAATATATATATATACACACCTTATCATACTTAACAGATCTCCATATCTTAATCATAATGAAAAGATGAAATAAGAAAAAACAAATCAAAGCTATGAGAAGACTTTCCCAGCAGCATTAATGTATCAGTTTCTCGACTGTGTAAACTAGTGTAAACCAAGTTAGGTGAACCTAACAAAACCAGCTCCAGACCTCTGAGCTTTTCTTAGGAAAAAGTACTTACACTTTCTGCTTAAAACAATTTTACAACATGACTGTACTCACATTTTAGGGGGTTCTCTTTTGTTTTTCAGTCATAGAGAAATGAGAGTTTAGGAGGAGGATTTTTATTTTGTTTTTAATAATTCGCCCCAAAAATTATCCTCAACGATTATTTTTTTCCCTGCTAAATAATAAAATGAGAAAGCTCTAATGCCGCATGTCAAAATTCCACCTTTAACATATTCTGCATCACAGCAAGGTAGACTTTTGGTATGTTGGCTTATTAAAACATATATATTAATTTGGTTATTAGTCATATTAGCCTATAAAATTCACTTTGTTCCTCAGACAGTACAGAAATCAGTGGACCTCAACTGTCCTTAATTACTTTCTCTGAATGTGATAACTCTTCTCAGTGGGTCTGACATCCAGAGAAGCCAATGTAAGTCCACAGTCTTTAACCCTTTTGGACTAAGATATATACATCATATTCTCCCTACTCTTTCTTCTGCTTTCCTAAAACAACAGAAAATGAAAATAAATGTTTACAAGCCTTCAATAGATTGTGCAATATTGGCCCGTTACTGGCAGGATCAGGTTATGAAATCTGAATACATGAATTCAGGTGGGGTTTGTTTGTTGAGACTGTTTATGCAGTCTCACACTCCACGCAGTAAAGGTTTAGCTATAGACAGAACTAAATTTTAAAAGATAAGAAAGCTCTCTTAAGAAAATCTGGAAGAAAAACTTCATAGCTAATAGGATACTTGCACTTGAATATCTTAATCACTGAACACAATGTTATTGAATTGCAATCTCTTCCTTTGTCTTCCAGAAACTTCCAGAGTCACAGTGAAGTTTCCTGCAGTTTTAAGGTAGGGCTGTGTGAGAACTGTGTTTTTTCTCTAAAACAAAATAAAGACTAAAATCAGCTTTGAGAGCCACACTCTCACACACGCTCCCGCTCCCTCTCCCTCTCTCTGTTAGGCTTCATTTGATAGCTATGAACTGTGGATAAAGAATAAATATGGCTTTTCAGTGCCCTAGGACTCTCACCTGACTTATTTATGTCTGACCTGGTAGAACACCACTGACCTTGGAAAGTTTAATTGAGGCTGGGATTATATGGCACTGCTTGAGGCCACCTGAATTTAGAGGGTGTGACACACACTTTCTCTTACTGACTCTCTCTTATCTGCTGGGAGATGCACATGTGGGTGCACAGTCATGCACCCCAAATTGAGCCTAGCACTGGGAAAATACCTGCACTACTGTAAGCCTAAGGTGTGCAGTACCATAAGGTAAAAGGTACTAGTGCCAGGTAGAATGCACAAATGCATAAGGGTTGGTTGGATTTCTGTGGGTCTGTTGTCTCTTTTCCTTTCACAGCATGTTTTCTCTGAGATTTGATTTTTATTGTTGACTCTTAACTTTTTATAACCTGATTCTGCCTAAGAACTGAGAGCTTAAAGTGTGAAGGAGAAGGAATTATACTGACACTGATTATTCACTTGTACATATCATGTTTAACGTTCTTTAATTAAATTTAATTAAAGCATATGATGAATGCTGATCATTTCACTCCTTTTTCAAGAAAGTTACAGATGCTTAAAAATCCCCACATTGAAGTTAAATGTAAAGAGAGAGAAGGGGAAAAAACAATAAAGGGGGGTGGAAGAAAAAGATCCATAAGACTGAAATGTGGAATAAAATGAAATGGCATAGATATCCGTTAGCCAAAGAGTACTATCTTTCCTACTGGAGATTGTCCCTAGATGGATATAAACAGCTCTCATCCGGGTTTCTTCAAGGCAGAGGCCAACATAGACGTCATATTATGCATGGAGTCTTTTTATGGCACAGAATATTGTCCACTGGAGACCGAGCAGACACCACTAAGCAAACCTCACCTAAGGCCACAGGCAAGCATCAAGCCCAAAGGGGATTCCTCTCCCATCAAAATCACTGTCTCTTTTCCAGCCTGTAATGTATATTTTGCCCTGTCATTTAAAGTTTATCAGTGCCAAAGCCCTGAGACAGCCTGGCTTGAGCCAAACAGGTAGGTGCGAACAGTGAACTACTGGAAAGGTTAAAATATTCCTGGATGGAAGGAGTCCAAAACCTCCTCAGAAATCAAACAACTCCATAATGCTTTCAAGGCAAAAATTATCCATTCTATGCCTTATTTCTAATGTGCCGCCAGACTGAAAGTGTGACCGTTTTCTGTTTGTAGGTGTCATAGGAAATGAAATGAGGAGAGAGTTGCTGTTAAGAGCAACTGCAATTCCCCTACCTCTCTCCAGCAGACTATGCCATGAATAAGGATATCTTTTATTATTTTTATAGTTCTATGCAGTGATGTAGAGCTTACCCGAGTCCCAAGCAAGGTGATACCAAGATCTAGACACATTAAAATCCTGGACGAGCTGTCAATTAAATATATGCTCTTTACAATTCATGGTCTGATTCCCAGTGTCTACATTATTAAATCCACAAACATTGCCAGCTAGGGATAATTGCATCTGTACAGGAAAACATCCAAGATGGGTGAAGAAAGCACCACAGTAAAGCTATCTGCGGCTGTCTCTCATCACCAGTGACATCTTGCAGATGCTGCAGACAAACTGCATTTTTGGAGGTCTCTAGTGAACGGAAAGGATTTTAGAATGAATAACAGACCTCAAGAGGAAATTCTGCTTTTTCCTCTCTTTTTTACCAATCCCTCTCTTCCCACTTGGTGAAGCAGCAGCTTAAGCAGCAGCCCTTTCCAACAGCCAAGAATAACACCAGCCCATGGAGCTGAACTGTTTCAACAGAGCTACGCTGCGCTCCACAAACCAATTCAATGCACTGTGCTGCTGCCATCCAAGAGCCCAGCTCTGAACATCTGGGAAGCTGAATACTCACTCAAAACCAAACACTGCCACTACCGATCACAGTAACATTTACACTGATTTTAACTCAATTTCCATCCAGTTCAACAGTCTTTATCGTGCTCTCAGAGCTGCCGGTCAAGATTTCAGGATTCACTGACTTACTAATACTACAGTTAAGTCCCTAAGCAGGCCAGTAAGGCTGTCCCACAAGTGTATAATTAAGTCTATAAATTAAATATATATATTCTCATCATTAATCTGGACCTGACAGACCTTCAGTATAAACTGACTTGCATTTATTTATTCTAAATGGGAAAACAGCACTAATACAGATACAGTTCTGAAGCACTAGACACAATAACAAAAAAAAAAAGTGTTGGGGAAAAAAAAATAAAGGATTTTTTTCTGTGATCCTTATTTATTACATTTTTAATAGAAAGTCAGTGGAGGTCTTATCTGATGTCATTTGGTTTAGGTTCCATGGTATTTTTTGTATTTGACCAAATTCCCTTATCTTCTCATTGCTTGCGTTCTGCTCTGCCAGCATCCAGCAAACTGATATACTTATCTTCAATTTTATAATAAAGTTTTAGCTTCCACAGGGTAAAAAAAAAAAAAGAGGAAAGGAAAACTGTGTCTAAGATACTAAATATATCAGGCATGTGCGAGTGTCAAGGAATCCAGCAGTTAACCTTCTTCTTACCATAGAAGCTTTAATTGTTAAAGACATTTGACTCACAGGCTCATGACTGTTTTTCTTTTATGCAAATTCTTAGTTATTGCTATTTATATGGTCAAATTAAGAAAACTGTTAGAATCTCAGGCACTATGCAGTGAATATTTCGAAGCAAGGTTGGTGATCATTAGTTTTCTGTGATTGCAGTTAATAACCAAAGGTGAAAAGATAATTAGAAGTGACAATTCTGAGGCAGGGAATATAAACCAAGGACTAATGAGCAAGTTATTGTGCAAGTGTCCATCTTCTCTTTAGAGATTTATTCCCCACTCTATCATGACATTTTTTCCTTCTCTTTCTTCATTAGGTTTCACACTTGTTATGTCTCTTCCCTATCTCCTCACCACTCATTGTCTCCAAAGTTCTACCAAAAACGACCTGAAAATCAACATAAACATAAAAGCCATCTCCTTACTTACCCTGCTTGTCCATTTAGTCTGCTTATCTCTTGTTACATGCGACCTACCTTAATTCGCTGAGAGGATGTCCTTTCTTGGTTGTACTCCTTCTTCAGAGGTCCCATCTTAAGAAGAGTCTCTTTCCTCTCTGTAGAAGCCAAAATCTGATTTGCAAAGCAAACCAAACTCTTTCAATCATCCATTTGCTTGTCCAGCTTATAACCAAGGCACATTTGCTAAGTGTTGAGGATGAAAACATAACATTTTTTGCTGGTTTTGATATAAATAAACAGAAGAAAATAGGGTAGAAATTGAAGCTAAAAGACCAGAGGTATCAAAGAGAACAGAGAATGAGAATGTAAGTCAGGATCTAGGTTCCCAGCTGAAATAAATCAGTCTCATCAGTGAGAGCGGAGCAACACCAATTTAAAACATCTGAGGATCTGGCCCAAGGTGAGCTTTATTTTGCTTTGATAAAAAAAAAAACAAAAAAAAAAAACAACACACCATATCAATAAAACTGGAAAACAAAGAACATGGCCCTAGTACGTCAAGCTGGGCTGGGTCTGAAGAAAGGGAGCTAACTGGCTTATTATATAGATGTTATACTTTGACAAAATGTGACAACTACACCTTTTCATTTCCCCAGTGGCCTCCAGGAGACTTAAGATTTAGTATCCTATAGAACACTTTAAGCTTGAGAAACTTCTTCTTATGGTTTCTTATGAGTCCTGGAGGCTGTGAAAGAGATTACAATGCTTTATATTAACTTCTCTCAGCTTGCGAGAGATAAGCTAGTGGACTGATACCAAAGTCTCCCCCCTTTTCACTGATCTGCAGAAGTGGTACATCTGAAACTACAAGTTCTTCCCCTCTAAGTCAGAAAATGAGCCATTTGCAACAGCAGCTCCACAGTTTTTCACAGCCCTGCCAAGTTCCAGGCCAAAAGTGTCAGCATTGCCACGGCTTCTGATCTTGTGCAGCCATCAGTTGAAAATGTGCAATTTCCATGCACATCTATTCTGGGCTCAGTGCAATTGCAATCCCCAGGATAGCCAAGACATGGTGAGATCAAGTCTGCTTACTCTGTTTTGAAGTCAGGTTGGCTGAAAAATAAGAAATAAAAAGAAGTGAATAGTAAGAACCAAAAAGAAAAAAAAAAACAACTCTTGCATGTTTGCCCATCCTTCCTTTTTCCCCAACTGACAGGGTCTGATAAAATCCAATGGAATATTTTGCTGTGGAGTAGTAGATGAAAGAATAACCTTCTATGTCAGGCCTTTTGAAGGCTTGTATTACCTGCACATCATTCAGCTGTTCTCAGAGTAAAGTGCATGCAATTTTTGCTCTGAGCACACAGTATAAACAGAGTCAGCTCTCCCCAATGTCCCACAGATGGAGATCCACAAAGACAATTTGTTGTGTGCCATCTAAGCAAGGGAGGTTGTTACACACTCATGTGCTCTGTTTCTCATGTCTGTATTTCAAAGGTTGGTCCTGATGTATTTATATTGCTTCTAATGAAATCTCTTAAAATCATGAAGTTCTGGGAAACAGAAAATTGACCAAACGCTCTTGATCAGTTCAATGGATGACCACAATGTCTGTTCTTCCCAAGATTCTTAAAGCAGCACAAGACTGGAGAGAGCTGGGCCCACTTTAGCTCCTGATTAAACAAATGTCTGAGACATGTTATATCCTACAGTCAAGACAAAATAGGGACATCTGTCCCTATGCAACAAAATCCCCAAAGCACTGATCACCACTGTCTATTGCTAACTCCAAAAATCCCACTTTCGGTAAACTCTCCTCCATAAACTGGAAGTTTCATACTTCGCACATGTGGGAAAACTTAGCTCAGGGAGGTGTCTTATGCCCCATTCCTTGAAATCAGAGTCTTTTAGGCTGAGAATTTCCTTTTGAAGGAAGTGGGAAGTGGCTGAGAAACACACTGAGCTGAAAGACCACAGGAGAAACACAACACCATGGAAGTATTAAAAAGAATTCAGAGGAAGCCCTGGGCCATGAGGCTACCAGCCAGTCCTGCTGTCCTCTTCAGATAAAGTGTTCTAAAGAAATAGGGCAAACAAGGGATTTTTTCATTATGTTTCTTCTAAGTGTGTTTACAGTGTGTCTTACCTGGAGGAATATCTATCTGGGCCAGGACAGATCTAGGTTGCTTCTTATCTAGGGCTTATGGACAGTTTATATTCTGTAACAGAATCTCTACCCTGCAAATGGGCAAGGTTACTTTTAAGTTTTTCCTGTGGTGGGAAGCCTCTTTTTCTCATGCCATGTAGACAAATGTAAGAATTTTAGTTATGTGCATCCACAGCTAAAGACGAGATCAAAGGCCTCTTTTTTAATGTCCACACAGGAAGCCAACTTAGAAGACTGCAGACTGAAATTCCCAGGGATCTTCAGTACAAAACACTTCCATACAGCGCTGTCAGCTTGAACATTAAGACCCTTGTTAACATCTTACATGACCAGTTGGGCTGAAATCGGGCCAAAATCTTCTGAAAGTTTAAGTAGGCTTTTTTCTGCCCCATCTTTATATTTCTTTGAGCATCTGAAATTTTTCAGTCCAAGCAAATGGTTCCATTTGAAATATTGCAAGAGATGTCTGGTTCCTGTGAGGCTTTGAAAAGGGTTTTGCATCTGCAGTACATTCACCCTGACAAGCCTTGGATAAGCTTCACAATTTGAATGTCTACCAGCTTATCACAAATACATCTTTTTACACTCAGATCTTTGCATGTGGAAACAAGAACAACAAACTCACAGATAAAACAAAACTATGTACATATACACACACACACGTAGTTACTTACATGTAGTTAGATGTAAATTTAGCATACATCATCCAGGCAAACGATGCTAGAGTCATAAATCCTGTCTGCAAATTTTCATTATATTAAAAAAAAAAGAAAAGGAACATTTGTATTTGAGTCCCCAGTTACTATCAGACCTTGGGTAACGTTACTGTGTATGTGTGTGTGTGTGTGTGTGTGCGAGCACATGTATATACATCTATGTAAATGTGTCTATATATAGATATGCACTTCTGCATTTCTCACTTCAGCCTTATTTGGGGGGGATATATTTTTTCTGCTTATTTACCACTTCCCCTAGCCTGGTGTCTTTTCCCCTCAGCCCGCTAAGTACTTCAGTTTCAATTGTATAAGAGGCACAATTTGATTTACAGTGTTAAGAGATTTTAAACAATACATTTAATGCCAATAGGGGCCTGAAGCAGCATCCTGAAGCAACAGGCTATCTTTCCCTAGGTTTAAAAATTAAGATTCACTGGAGTATGAAGGTCAATGGGAGACTCGGGAAAGGGCAAACGGTCTGGTATGATTACACTATGTCTGAACCAAGCTGGCTTTCCCAACAAAAATGTGTCAAGTAATGCAGACAACTCATAGATATGAATTTCTTCACTGTGTTTCTGCCAGTGCTATATTTGAAGAATCGTGCCAAAGAGTTTAGTCCCAAACCTTGTGTTTTGTATTAAATAACAGGATTTAATAAGAACTGTTTATATTTTCATTACATCAGAAAAATGTAATAATAAACCTATGGAAAAATTCCTCTTTCCCAAGCTCAAATTTTAACATATCCTGAAACACATAAACTGAGCCACAATTGTTATTGAATGACAACCAGCAAAAAAAGTCACATCTGCAGCTCCTCTTTGCCCTTCTCTAGGACTCTGCATCCAGCCTGTAGCCCATTCCTTGCTGGCCTTTTTTCCCAGGACAGTTCAACAGCACACAGAGGACCAGATGAGCTAGCAGTAAGCATTTCTGTATATTTCCCTTGGCCAGTGAACATCCTTGGACTAATGAAACCAGGACACCTAGAAAAGGTGACCAGAAGAGAGACCATAATGCAACCTGCTTTAAGAGGCAACGGTATGCTCCTGACTACTGTCTTCCATGGGACATCCCTACTCCTGAATTTTGTGATTGTGTACAGCAGGGATAACCAATAGCTCCAACACTGAGAGATGCTAACCTTATAGATACTACTCTGTACAGTCAAAGAAAAACTTCCTGGAGACACCAGACCTATTACAGGGACGCAGTAAATCCAGCTGTATGCTGCCACAGTGAAGATGCTAAAAGGCCTGCTCATCCAACAGTTAGGAGCAATTAGGAGATAAAATGACTAATTTAGGCTTTGGTCCAGTGTAAGAAAAGTAGATCAACACACATGATTATAAGCAATTAGAGGTCAGATCCACTGAACTCAAAGATACAAAGGAAGGTTTTGACTGAAGAGGAGCGACAGCTTCTTTTGGGACATCTGATGAGTTGACTGTCCCAGATGCCCATCCTATCCCTCCTTCCACAGCTATGAAAGCTATGGAGTCAATCAGCTCCTGAATAATGTACAGTTTGAACACTGTTTGAAAACCAGATGAAATTGGTGATTTAAAATGCTATGCATAAATTTATGCAGCATGCTTAAAATGCTATGATACAAAAGATGGTGTGTCAGGTTTGACTGACAAGCAGTATAGATACCTTTGCATCAGCAGCAGTGATGGAGGCAGCAGCCCCATCAGATATCCCAAGAAAAGCCATTTTGTCAATCAAAGCCTTTGTAACAGATCTACATGAGCATTTCAGCTTGTGAAATTCACTTTTCTTGAGAGATATGACAAGACCTCCAAATTCATGCAGACTTACTTCGAAATATGGCCAGATGGGGTGTAAGAGGGATCTATCTGTTGTACTGACCCCTGTGCAGAATTTCAGTCTAAGGGTCCTATCCTCTACAAGAGAGATCTGGGCAGAGATAACACATCACTACCCAAAACCATCTGAACTTCCTGCGGATTCTTTCTGCAAAGGACTAGAAGTTAAAGTAAAACAATAAAAATAGTTCATTCCCACTCTTTCATTGTTTTACCCTTCACTGGACATATCACAATAGAAATAAGGGATTGGGGAAAAAAAAGACATATCGTTTATGTTAGCACAAAGAACAGTTCTATCATAATATTAGCCACATATGGTCCAGTGTTAGTTACCAGACCTTGAAAACCAGGAAAAAAAGGCATTAATAGGAAGGTTAACACAGTTCTAGCTGAGTGGGGAAATGAGAAGGCCAAATGTACATTAGTCAAAGAAAGAAAAATAATATCTCAGAAAATGAATAAGAGATAACTATCCTCCGAATAATACTATATAAATACATTTGCTGTAGGTCACATAAAAGATTCATAGCACACACATGTACAGGTCAAATTACCTTTAAATATTAAATTTCTTTCCAGCGGGGAAGAATTTCAGATTTATGCTGTTTTCATAAAGAAAAAGGATGCACCCCATGCATTATTATTTGCTGACAAATGATAGCTTCTGGGTTTGCCTGCAAGATATAGTTTAGAAACTGCCTTTTTCATGATTAAAAGAAGAAAAAGAGTGAATCATCATGAAATTCATTTCTTATCCAAGGAGTTTCTGCTTTCTTTTGCTCATTAAATCAATATTTTCTTATTGTGGAACTATAGAAGTTAGCATTGGAGAACACCTATCAGGTCACTTTAAGTAGTCCATTTTCCTGCTAATGTAGTATTTTTCCCCCTGCAGCACATTTGGGTGGCCTAGCTTTAAAAGATTCAGCAACAGGGTTACATTGTTCCCTGGAGACATGATTCCACACACCTCAGTGTTCAGACATTTTCATATTAACAGGTCTAAGCAGGAATAACAGAACCACAAAAACTTATGATGAAAATAAGGTATGAGCTCAAAGCTCAGCATGCAACGACACAGAGTGGTAAATCTATCAAACAACTGGTAACAAACTATTACTACTGAATTTATGGTTCCAGTTTGGCCTTTATCAGTTGAAAACAAATGTGTTATTATCTTTTGGCTCTTTGATGGTGCCTGTGGAATGAGCTGTGACTCTTCCAGATGGATAGATGTTCAAAGCGTGCAACCAGCTTCTCACGGATCACCCTGAAAACTGAACTCAACTCTTGATTACAGTCAAGCAACTCATTCATTTAAAATACATCTAAAGGCCCAGTACAAGCTCATACTAAAAATATCTCCCAAGCACATTATAATAAAATATCATCCAA